TTTTAACTGCCAGATCTGTTCTGAATCAAACCTGTTTTTAAATGGGCCAGTGCTACGCAACATGATGAAAGGTATCTTCAATTATAAAGACAAAATACTGACTCCACAAGAACTGTTCAATAATCACTTGTACCAATATTATCTTGTCAGATGCATCTACAACAGATGGATTGGTAGAGATGAGGTCAAGTAGCTTTTCCCCACTTACTGGTCCAGCTGTTGCAGGCTATGTCTGGCAGATATGTTTTTCAGGACTTAGCCAGCTTGGCCAGTGGTGCTACTGAACCTCTGTTGGTGACGGATATTGAATCCCCTCACCCTGAATGCATTAGATTCTCTTGCTTTTCTCCGTGAAGGATTGAGTACTGATTCATCAGCTATAGGACAGCAGTAGATGGTAAATAGCAGGAGGCTTCATTGACCATGTGTAAGGACCATGTCTTTATATTCTTGTGTTTTTAAAAAAGTGTAGACTGCAAATAAAAAGTTTTTTATTTTAAACAAATAGGATTTAACCAGGTGGCTGCATGATTTCAGAGCAAGGAACCTATTGTGAACTTTTTTTGTGTGTGTGGCTCTGGTTTCCTGCAATGTGCAGAAGTCACGGAGTTAGTTACAAGTGAAACTGTCTGGTTCTCAGCTAACTGAGCAGGTTGGAACTGCAAGCAAGTTACATCGACACCAACACAGAGAGAGAAAAGCACAAAAAGGTGTGCAGTTGTTCTCCCCAGTGGAAGCTGCTTGTTCTCTGCAGTAAGAAAAACTCAGTTTAAACCTGGAAAAAACTGATTACCTCTCCTGCAGCAGCTGCTGTGCAGCTATGACTTTTAATTGATAAATCAGGGATGTTTTCCAAGTGAACCACCTACATCTCTCTCAAACCAGCGGAAGGATTTAGAGAAAGATAATGGAATGCCAAGGGCTGGGCTAGCTGAAGAATGATCATCTTGACCTTGAAACTGCGAAGTAAAGACCATTGAACTGACTTCCCATTTCTTCTACCTCTGCCTTTTTCCTATTTTTTGTGTGTGTGTGTGTAAGGGGGAGTTTATAAGGGGATTCGAGTTTTCATCCACAGTGTTATATGCCAATGGTTTATATATATTTACCTTGAGTTATAGTCTAATTACTTATAATAAACAGTAATACTTATTCAGTACAGAAACCTGGTCCATGCTTTCTTTTGACTTCAGTCTGAAAGTCACATAAATTGGGGTAAATGTGTACTTTTTAAAAATCTTCAAGATTTTTTATGACTCTGGGAATAGTGGGGCTTGATTATGGCTCACTGTCCTGGTGGATCAGAATAAAATCTGGCCCCTCGGATTGGATTGGATTAGAATGGAAACGGAGGCAACGAGGATTTGTGATTTGGTAAATAATAAAGGTGAAGGAAAACACAAAATTCTCGTCTGCACTTAATGGAAACAGCAAAGGATTGCCTGAAGGTGGCAGTGTTGTTCCTGGTAGTCTTAAAGGAAATCTCAAAACCAAGGTTGATTGACTTGGTAGGTAAACTGAAGGTAACATTGCCTGACAGAGCCAAAAAGACAGAGGTAATTGAGATACTTGGGTTTAGAGGAAATACAAAAGAGGCCAAGTACTCCAGTTGGGAAGTGTTGAAATTAAGTAATATTCGCTTACAGTTACAGCAGCTTGTATATGAGGAGAGAATGAAAAAACTGAAAATGAAATTCCAAAGGGCACAAAAAAGTAAGGACAGGGAATGAAATTGAAATGAGAAACGACAATTAGAATTTCAAAGAAATTTTCAAATAAAGCAACAGATAATTATTATAAACTTAAAATGGCACAGTTGAATCAGAAGACATCAGATACTAGTACAGGCTATGTTGGGGAGAATCTGAGTCATAATTTGAAGTCCAGTAAGGAAAAGTTTAAGTTTGCACAGGCCTAAACAAAATTTGAGGAAAAGGATGGTGGAAGCCTTCTTCATGTAACTTATGAAAATGATTAGGCAAATGAATTGAGCAAAAGTAGACTGGACATTGTTTATGCAAAGTAAACTGACAAGTAAAGCACAGAAAATTTATACTTCATTGTCAAAGGAGGTTTTGCAGGATTATGATTCCGTGAAGAAGATTATATTGGCAGCCTACAAGATAGTGCTGGGGCATATGGGCAAAGGTTTTGGAAAGTACGGAATAAACCTGGGAAAACCAATGTTACGTTTGAAAGAGTTGGTCAAAGTAATTTGACAGGTGGATAAGAGTATTAAAAGGTGAAACTACGTATGGAACTCTAGGAGGTTATTCCCTGAGAGGAATCTTAAAAACTTGCTGCAATAAAAGAATTGAAGACAAAAGGATTGAAACTACTGGATGGGCATCAATAATGACATCTCCAGGGGAGGTGATGATAGTGTTTGGGGCATTGTAAGGTATAATTCCATGAGTATAACTATGTTGAGTTGTTGCTTGACTAGTGTGAGAGAACACTCTCCCACTTTTAGCACAAGTCCTCAGATGTTACTTAGAAGGACATTGCAGGATCACCAGGGCTGAGTTGGCATTTGTCATCACTGGTGCCTTGGTCAATGCCAGATACTCTGTCCAGTTTCATTCCATTTTTTTTGAGACTTTTGAGCAGTTGATACAACTGACTGGCTTTCTAAGTCATTTCAGAGGGCAGTTAGGAGTAAACCACATTGCGGAGTGTCTGCAGTCACATGTAAGCCACAGCAGATAAGGTTGGTAGATTTCCTTCTCTGAAGGACATTTGTGAACCAGAAGGGTTTTTATAACAATTGACAATGGTTACTTGGTCATCATTAATTTTTTATTGAATTTAAATTTCAGATCTGTGGTGGTGGGATTTGAGCTTGGGTCCCCAGGATATCATCTTGGTCTTTGGATTGCTAGTCCAGCAACAATAGCACTATGCCATTAGCTTCCCTCCTACATAATAAGAGTTATTACATATAAAAATTACTTCCTTGTCGATAAACTGCTTCTGATGGTCTAAAAATGGGAAGATAGTGCATGAATGGAAGCTCTATTTTTCTTATTAATGCACATTTTTGTGTTATGCGTAATATATTTTTAACTTCATATTGCTCTGTCTTTTAAGTTTCATTACCTATCATCATAAATGAGTGCTACTACATTCAACTCAGGTGAAGATAAAAAGGAAAAAAATACTGTGAATATTGCCAATCTGAAATAAAAACTGAAAATACATCTGTACGCAAAAAAAGACAAGACTAACATGTGAGGCAGAAATCAGTTCACAGAAAAGGTTTCTGCGAAACCTTAACCTATCTTTTTGCTTCTCATGCTGATAGAGTTGGCTGTATATTTCTTTTGCTGTGGTTTTAAATGGAACAGATTAAATCAGAGGAACAAATCTGAATTGTTTGATGTATTATGCAGTACCACTTTGGTTCTTATTCAGAGTCTAAACAGAGGTATCTTGCACATGTCTAGGTTTGAATTATTGTAATCCCACCCATTACCACAATGAAGCTAGTGGCTGTGTAACAAAACAGTGACTATTTAAAGGGACCTATTTTAAAGACATGACTAGTTGTTTCAATCAGGTTCCAGGAATGTAGGTTTATATCAGCTACAACTGTTAAAAGATACCACTTTCTTCATCAAATCAGTGACTTACATACTTTTAGCAATGGATTTTTTTTTCTTTTCCTTTTGTGCGTTAAATTTGAAAATCTTGATGGTGCTGTTATGCTGTCAGCTTTAAGAGTCATGGCATCAGTGACATATTCTTATTGATCAGCCTCACTCTGATGCTGTTTGTACTGGCACAGTAACCTCCTCCTGAGCAAGATGTCGATAATGTCCCTGTACCTTTCTTTCCCATTCCTGAGCCTCTGGAGATATTAGGAGAAATAAGGTAGTTTGTAGTGCCACATGCAGGTAGGGGTAGCTGTTGCCCGTGGGCAGCATTTAATAAAAATCATTGCAGCAAAGGACTTGTGAGCAGACCGACTGAATGAAGCAGGCTTGTGTATCAGCAAGCCTGCTAGGATGGGCCATTGCTGTTGCAAGCTGTATTACTGCTTTGGTTGTCTGGACGAGAGGGTAATAGCTTCGTTGTTTCTTTTTGTTCCAATGACACAGGGTGGTCACTAAAGTCATGATGCAGCCCAAGTTGAATTAATTTAGGGGTTGACTTTACGATTATCAATGTGTTTTATGAGGAGGAAAATCCTATTCTATATATAATGGCCTTGTACGTTTGCTTTAATAGATTGTGAATAGTGAAGAGCTAGGACACACACTAAGCTGCAGTTCAATTCACAACTCTATCCCCTGTGATAACTTAATTTCACCATTTTCTGCCTTAAAGAAGTAACATTATAATTTGTGGTCAACTCCAAAGAGGTTCCATTTTGTTCACTATTAGAGTTCACATGTTAGTAATATTGCACTATCATTGTTTTTTTCCATTAAAAAAGATGGGAGAGTCAGTGTGGTAGCATTTAATTCTCTTGAAGTTAGTTTTTCATTCTCACATTTCTAGCTTTCCACTGTTAAGCCAAGTTTGTTTATTTTGATGCTGGGCATGATTTGAATATTATTGTCAAGCCTGTGGAGCACTTCGTAATTTACTAATTTTGTGTAACTATTTGGTGTTTCACAACTCTGATAATTCTGAATGTACAAGTGACAGAAAATGTAGCTTCTGAGTTAGTAGCTGTTAAGGTTTCAGTTAGTTATAGCGATAAACAGTAGATTGAGGTCTTTGTGGAAAATACATTAAATAAAATCTCCAGGGAGGATGCTGGTAAATAATTATGGTTGTGAACATATGCCAGAAATTTCACTTGTCAGGGAATAAAGAATATAGGGGTGGAGATCCCCCTTCAGTGCCTGAGCAACAATTAAGGTGGTTTGGGTCACTCATCTGCTAGAATCTGCCTGCTTTATGTCCTACTGATTTCACCATGTGGACAGGGTTCAAATTGAGCTGTTTATTGCAATTCCCTAACATTTTGAATTTTTTTTTATTCTTTGCAGAATGAAAGTGCCCTTATCAAAGAGAAAGAACTGTCCATTGAGCTTGCTCATATCAGAGAGGAAGTAGGTAAGCTGAACAACGAAATGTAAGAATATTGTTGTTTGTCCTCTGAGTGGTGTTTATTTGTCTGTATAGCTCCTACAAAAGCAATGCACCAAAATATTATTTGTGTCTGGTGGCTGCTTTAATCCCGTGGGAAAATACAGACCAATAATTCATCTTGTTGTTATAACAATAAGGTCACGACTTGTTTGTGTCCCAGCCTGAGTGTCATCAAGTGGTTTTCTCACCAAACTTGTAAATTATGCATGCATACTCTCCTTCTGCATCTCATGGGGCTTAATTTTACTGTTTAATGAATATCTACAATTTTGTAACGACTTTCCTTCATATGAATGGATGTTTTCAGGTCTCCTTTGGTTATAGCAGCCTAACTGAAGTAATTGTTAAAATGCAGTAATACTTAGTATCTGAATCATTGTGAGTCATTTCCAAATACAGTGTGTCATTTCTTTAGGCTGAGGTGCAGACAGGAGTTTAATAAATTGAATAAATTAAACATCTAAAAGTTCATGTGCATCAATTTACCTTGCTCTATAGAGGATGGGAGATAAATAGTGCTTAGTTAATTTGCACATTTATCTGTGTATTGGTAATAATGTAGGTAATTTGCAGGCAGTTGTCTCTGTCCAAGAGAGACAATGGTTATCTAGCTCAAGGAGCTCCACCCCACATCAAACAAAGGGCAAGGCTAGGAGGCAGATCCCAAAGCTAGTTCAGCAGAATTGGAAAGTTATGCCCATGTTGCTGGCATTAGTCTGAGCTACAGGCTAGCTATCCACCTTCTATCATCGCCTCCCCCTCTCTATTTATTTCAGAGCCCCCTTCCCCTCCCCCATTTCTGAAGAAGCATCCAGACCAGAAACATCAGCTTTCCTGCTCCTCTGATGCTGCCTGGCCTGCTGTGTTCATCCAGCTCTACATCTTGTTATCCCAGGCTAGCTATCTAACTGCCCCACAGGTAGTAAGCTATAATGTATACACTATCCTTAGGAAACATGAAAACCGATCATTGTAAGGTCAATATTATTTGGGAACCATGCAGAGGTTTGGAATAATATAAAGCATATGACCCACCTAATTTAATAGAGTTCCAAATATTTTGCTTTGAACAATCAGGACCTGAATTTAACACAGCATGGTTGTTTTGATTGATTTAAAGTCTTGCCCTCAGTGTCTGTTCAGAAGGAGAGGGCAGCCTGCATGTACTCAGACAGAGAGGCCCACCCACTATATATAGCATCATATCATGTTTTCAGTTAGGGACAGAGGGTCTGAAAGGTACAGTTGTAAACATACTTCTAATCAGCTGATGGCAGAACACATTAACAGGTTGCAGACTGAACCACAGTCAGATTTGCCCTACTCTTTCCAAAGATGGAAACAGCCTAGTAATCAGTAAGAATGACCACGAGGATAAAATTATCTTCAGATAATCAGGTACTTTACCTTTCAAAGTCATAAATGTTATTTCATTTTATCTTTATATAGAGCCTAGAGGATAGCACCTATAGCACCAGTACAAATGCATTATGATAGTGTAAGACACTGAGCAATAATAGCAAAATAAAACAGTGTTATAATGGAAATACATTTTTACACACAGACAGAATGTGTATGTATACTGTACCTTGGAATAGCCATTCTGTAGTTCATTTCTCAGGGCAGTGTTTTGTTCAATCAGAGCCAACCTGGCTTGTTTAATATTTAAACAAATACAGCACTAATACATAAAACAAATACATTAACTGTTTGTCATCATAAAATGGTAAATTCTCCATGACAATGTCTCAACCAATCTGGGTTCACGCACTAACCAATCATCACTCTCCTCTCGTACAGTATAAATTTTGGTTTTGCTTTACGTTGGCATTTCTTGTGAATTGTTTTTTTGAGTGCAAATGTGTTTTTCAGCAATACTCACAGTACCTAATTCTCAAGAAAAGGGGGGTAAGAGCCATAGATACATAAGAACACAGCCACTTGGAGGCTCCCCTCCAAGCCACTCACCATTGTGACTTAGCAATACATCGCCGTTTCTTCAGTGTCACTGGGTCAAAATCCTGGAACTCTCTCTCAAGCAGTATTGTGGCCATATCTACACCTAATGGACTGCGGCGATTCAAGTTGGCAGCTCACCACTATCTGCTCGAGGACAACTAGAATGGGCCCAGCCCTAAATGATTTAAAGAAAAGAGAACCTCCATGACTAACTTAAATAGAGAATCTCACCAGCTCAGCCTTTTAAAAAACAAAACTCTTTTTAGTTAAGTTGATGTAGATAGCAGGGAATGCTCGTGAAGAAAGAATTGGCTGCAGAACATACAGATCCAGCTTTTAGTTTCTCCAGTGCAACTGTGGAGACCCTGGTCCAGGATGGAGGTGGGGGATTCTACCAAAGTGCAAAATGCAGTCCAGGCCACACTGTTGCCAACAGGAAGAGATTCCAGTGGATGTTGATGCCAGGAGCTTAACTCCCTACTCGTAACTACAATGCTGAATAAAGTTAACTTAGCTTTCTGAAATTATCTCTGTAAGAATACCACTGTCTTAATGTCATCGTAATCACACACTCACCCTTCTATTGCCCCCAAAATTGGAGCCCTAATTTCCCCATACATTGAGCTTCCACAGTATTAATAAAATATTTAATCATGGCAAGTTAAATTCACTAAACACCACAGATGGACACAATCAAAGAGTTCTCCATTCTGGAGGAGAAGGTCACGTGTACAATGAGGCAGGAGTTGCTTTTCTGAGGCATCTGGAAGGACCCACACAAGTCCCCACAGTTAGGTGGAAGAGGTACGGCTGGGAAACGTCACTACAGGAGATGCTGCACTTGTTCTTTATGAAATAGAAGCAACTCCTAAATTCCCTTTGGGATCTTACACCATCTGCTTCACAAACTATAACTTCTTTCAACAGTCACTCTTAAGTTCTCCCTTCTCAGTAAAAGCTATATCTTGTAAATCCCTTTGATTTCATGTACAGAAAATGTGTATTATTTTCTGCCACGTTATAAGAAAAGGCCAGTTTTCCTAAAGATGCACAGTCACTCAGTCTGACCCCCAGAGACTGGCACTGTTTGTAGATAGAGGAGAAAGGGTTTGCACAAAGTGATTTGTTAGGCCCAAGTATGGGAGCTAGGACAGGCTGAGAGGAAATCATAGATGCCAGCTGTCTGGAGGATGGGATTGCATAGCTCCAATGCAGAGGATACAGCCAGTGACTTTTAGGGCCCAGGCAACCGAAGAAAGCTCTGGATGTCGGTGAGCAAACGCTGGATGCATTGAGAAGCCGGCGAATAAGATATTGTGGAGCGTGGAGGAGTAGGGCTCCAGCCTGTGTCAGGCTTCACACAGAATATAGGGGTCATTCACTATGGAGGGGAGTGATCAGTTCCGTCAACACCACGGTTCACTCAACCATGATAGAGATTCTGCAATTCTGACATCTGCCTGTGGAGATTGAAATGACTGTTATCATGGTTCTGGAGGCTGAGGTTAATGGAATACTTGCTGTGTTCCCTCACTCCAGAACTCCTTTCTTGCATAGAATCATTGGAACAATGAAGCACAGCTCCTTAATAGAGACCTCGGATCCAAGGGGGAATGCAGCAGCTCTTGTCTCTCAGACTGAAAGTGTACTGCCCGACCACCCAGTTCGCCAATGCCTTGTTGGTGCCCCACAGCCAGCTGGCCCTTCTGCACTTCTCTGACCCACATTCTGATGCCACATTCTACAGCCAGGCCCTCAAGGCCCAGATCTTCTTGTGATTCTCCACCAGGGCTGGCTGAAGATCCCTCAGTGGAAATTTATACAATAAGCTTAGTGCAATCCTTCTTTTTAATCCCTATGCTACAATGAATCCCAAATAATTCAAACATGTCTCTGTGTTCTGCCATAGTGTTGAATACTCTTTATTTAAATGATCATTGTTTATCACACGATTACAACAGTTTCTGACCCTGACACTGTGAGGGAGTTGAAAGAGATTGAACAGTTGATTCCGAGGCAGTGATTGCAGTTACTGATGTTCATTCAGCTCCTCCACATTGCTGGCCCAAATAAATTGTTTCAGACTGCTCCACTTATATTGTGATCAGCATAACTTCTGAAATTGCTAAAAAAAAGCACAAAAATCATTAACCAGTGTTGATATCAGGCACAGAGAAAGTAGGAACGGCAGATGCTGGAAAATCTGAGATAACGAAGTGTAGAGCTGGAGGAACACAGCAGGCCAAGCAGCATCAGAGGAGCAGGAAGGCTGACGTTTCGGGCCTAGACCCTTCTTCAGAAATGGGGGAGGGGAAGGGGGTTCTGAAATAAATAGGGAGAGAGGGGGAGGCGGATAGAAGATGGATAGAGGAGAAGATAGGTGGAGAGGATTACGAGAGAGTTGCAGTGGGAGAGAGATCCCCTGAGGTTTGTCCGGAGGGAGGAGGGTAACTTCTTCAGGGTAGGCATCCTTAGAAGAGGCTTCGCAGTGGCGTTAAAATTGTATCAGAGATAGTAGGAACTGCAGATGCTTTAGAATGTGAGATAACAAGGTGTAGAACTGGATGAACACAGCAGGCCAAGCAGCTCTGACACAATTTTAACCCTACTGCGAAGCCTCTTCTAAGGATGCCTATCCTGAAGAAGTTACCCTCCTCCCTCTGGACAAACCTCAGGGGATCTCTCTCCCACTGCAACTCTCTTGTAATCCTCTCCATCTATCTTCTCCTCTGTCCATCTTCTATCCGCCTCCCCCTCTCTCCCTATTTATTTCAGAACCCCCTTTCCCTCCCCCATTTCTGATGAAAGGTCTAGGCCCGAAACGTCAGCCTTCCTGCTCCTATGATGCTGCTTGGCCTGCTGTGTTCATCCAGCTCTACACCTTGTTATCCTTGATATCAGGCACGGTTCTTTGCACACAATTTTGAAGATAGATTCTGCGGATAAGACTTTTGCTTCAGTGCCTCATAATTATTCCGATTAAATGTAATGTACTTCATATCTAC